TAAAAGTAATAAATAATAATAAATTTATTTAAAATCAATGTTTTTTTAATCACTTCTTTTTATTTTAGCAAAGTAACTATTAAAATGGTAAGTGGACAACTTTTGGAGGTAAAAAAATAGTAGTTTTACCATTTTTATAGTACCAAAACTATTTTCCATAGTAAACTAACTATTTTTCATGGTAATAAAACAATTTTCATGGTAAAGTAACTATTTTTAATGGTAAAAAAACAATTTTTCGTGGTACACGAACTATTTTTCATGGTTAAAAAACAATTTTTTGTGGTACACGAACTATTTTCGTGGTACACGAACTATTTTCGATGGTAAGCTAACTATTTTTAATGGTACCCGAACTATTTTCACGAACTTTCATAATAACAATTTTTTGTCGGTTTGATTTACAATTTTTTTCGGTCACTGCAATTTTAATCGTCTTTTTCGGTTAGATTTACCTCTCTTTTTCTTTGTGTGTAGTACATATGCATCCAACTGTAAAATGAAACAATGCAAAATTAAAATGTAACTGCATAAAACAAATCCCCTCAGCATTTATGGATTAGCTGCTGAAATAAAATAGTACTTTTGTTTAAAATTACATAAATATTTGAATATTTAAACATACATAATATATGCAAATATGTACACACATATGTATGTATGTATGTATGCTTGTATTATTTACACTTATCTTAAGCTGCAATATTACATAAATAATTTATTGGGTTATGAAACCCATGGATGTTACGAATAAAACGTTAACAGAATACCAAATGCGCAATGACAACGCAGAAACACGCATACGTCCCGCACGACTTCTACCACTTTCGAATGCACGTAAATAAATAAACCGCAAGTAGTTAATGAACATTAAATTATGTTGTGTATGTATATATGTATGTACATATGTACATAGGTATGCACTGATGATGTATTCATTGAATTTTATAATAGTGGAGAAATTATTACCAAATTGTTTGGCATCGATACTTGTTAGCAAAACAAATGCCACCAACATTAAACGCCGCAAATTTGTAGTGAACTTATTGTTTAGCGTTCCATGCCGACAGTTCGTAGTTACCAAAGCGTCATTCACTTCATTATTATCATAATTGGTAACACGTTTGCAAGCATCATTGGCAGCATTATCATGCGCGACCTTGATTGTGTTACCATTTGGAAAGCTTTTTTGCGATAGCATTTTCTTTACGAGGTCATCACCATCGAAGCAACAATATTTGAAACCTGTTTACAGCACCACTTTTCACGAAACAAAAAGAAATGACCACAACGTAACAATGTACGTAACTATTTTACACGATTCACTTCCGGCCACCAGTAATTTGAGTACTGCAAGTAAACTTTTTTATGCAACCGATCACTTGCAGACGCGTGCGACAACTAAAAGTTGGGCGTCGTTGATGTTGGACATTTATAGGAGCGCATCTCGCATTGCCATCACTTGGTGATTGAGTGAAACAAGCTTTCACCATTTCTCTACGTGGTCCATTGGGCGAAGTCAGTGGGAATATGAGCAAAAA